TGCCATATATTTTACCTTAAAATGCCTTTGAATAGTAGGAGAATTGAAGCATTTTAAACTTTTGTCTCAACAGTGATACCATAACTTTGACCTATATATATTTTAGGAACTCTATGAAAAGATTATCTAGAATCTTGAAATAACATCACTATATTGGAATATATTGGCATATAACAAGAATTATTTTAAATACATACCTGTTTAAAAGCCGTTTTATCTGCTTCAACACTAGGAGTTAAAATGCTAGCCAATAGCGCTGAAGAGTTGTCTTTGTTGAGATTGTCTTGTGTGGCTGGACAATGTTCAACAGATGTGAGAAAATTAAATTCTGGGTTAGTTTGATCCCCAGGCACACACAAATTATAGGCAAATGGCAAAGTTCCCTCACTATAGTTGGGGGGAACCACAGTTTCAGACTTGGAGCAGAAAACTGGCCCAAAGCAGCCCCGGGCAGTAGGGCTGAAAGACTGTCGTAGCCGCAGGGCTATGGCCAGAATCACCGCGAGGAGGAAGAGCACAGAAATTAAGGCCAAGGCCACCACCAGGTAAAATTGCAGCTCCGCCTGGGGGTCAGAGGGTGCCAGATTGTCGCTGAGGTCTGGCAGTACCTCTTGCAAGTTATCAGCGAAGACCAGGTACAGCGTGGCAGTGGCAGAAAGGGGCGGCTGTCCTCCGTCTCGCACCGCGACCAGCAGGCGATGGCGGGCCAAGTCCCTGTCACCCAAAGCACGAACCATGCGCACCTCACCCGTGCGCAGGCCCAGGCTGAAGAGCCCGGGCTCGGTGGCCTGCAGGACGTGGTAGGACAGCCAGGCGTTGTGTCCTGAGTCAGCGTCCACCGCCACCACTTTGGTGACCAGGTAGCCAGGCTCCGCGGCGCGTGGCACCGTGTCGAAGAGCGCTGAGCCATCGGGCCCCAGCGCCGGGTACAGCACCCGCGGCGCGTTGTCGTTGCGGTCGCCCACCAACACGCGCAGGCTCACGTTGGCGCTGAGCGCGGGCGAGCCCTGGTCGCGGGC